TTCTTTTTCCCCCCCCCCCCCCCCCCCCGGACTCTGTTCTTCTCTGTCAAATTTAAATAAATAAGTAAAGTAAATAAAGTAATTCTTTTAAAAATAGAATTATTTATTGAATATCATTATTATTTGGTACCCTCACCAAAGAGAGAAAGTGAGAAAGCAAGTTGCCAGGTCTGGGATTTGAACTGTGCTCAAGCATGTGGGAATCCACTGTGTTAATTCCTATGCTACTTGCTGACCCCACAGATCTTTAATTTTTTTTTTTTGAGAGGTTTTTGCTATAGGGCGTGTGCCCTCGCCAGACAGACAGAGACAGAGAAATAGAAAGCGAGAAATCACCCCCAGGGGGGATGGTCACACCGCAATCCCTTCTCCTCCATTCTCCTCTCAGGATCTTGGGCACGCATGCACACGCGCCTGGCGTGAGTTTAAGCCACTAGGTCCGGGACTTGAACTGTGGTCAACTACATGGGAGTCCAGCGACATAGCCATTATGCTAACTGCTGGTCCCTTTTTATTTTTTTGAGAGAGATTTTTGCTATAGGTCACATGCGCTCACAGAGAGACATGAAGAGACAGGAAGTGAGAAATCACCCCCTGGGGGAGGTAGCCATGCCACAATCCCTTCTCCTCTGAGGATTTTGGGCACACACGCACACACACTCGGTTTGAGATTTAAGCTACTGGGTCTGGGACTCAAGCCATGGTTGATTATGTGGGAGTCCAGCGACGTAACCATTATGCCATCTGCTGGTCCTCGGATCTGGTTTCGAATTGCCAGAGGGTGTATACACTTTCTAGAGAGAGACAAAGAGACAGAGAGGAAGGACCTCTACATTGGACGTGGTCATGCCATAATTCCTCATCCATTCCTCTATGTGGTTGGAATTATGGTCACACATGCACTTGTGCTTGGTGTTGTCCTGGGGGCTGGGACTCCAACCATGGTCTGCCGTGTGGGATCCTGTTCCCTTCATCACTGGGCTAGGGGCTGGCCCTGCTTCCTGTCTCTATGGGATCTGCCTCTTCTGGATATGTCACGTCAATGGATCCCACCCACGGCGTGGCCTTTGGTGTCTGTCTTCTGTCGCTCAGAGTCATGCATTTGAGCATCATCCACCTTCTAGGCTGAAACAAAGCTTCATTCCTTTTCGTGGGCAAATAATATTTTCTGGCAGACCAGCAGATGGCGTAGTGGTTACATCGCTGGACTCCCATACAGCCCATGTTGGTGTCCACGGGCCAGTCACGTGTGCGTGCATGCCCAAGATCCCGAGAGGAGAATAGAGGAGAAGGGATTACAGTGTGGCCATCCCTTCAACTCCCATCCCCTGTGGGGTGTGACTTCTCACTCTCTCTGTCTCTGTCTCTCTGGTGAGCACATGCACCCTATAATGAAAATCTCTCTAAAAAAAAAACATTTTTATTAAAAAAAAAAATTGTATATTGGGGCTGGCAAGCAACATGGTGGTTGAGGTGCTGGATTCCTATATGCCTGACCACGGTTCGAGTCCTGGACCTGGCAGTTTGCTCTTTCTCTCTGTCTCTCTCAAATTGAAGAATAATAATAAATGCAATTAAATTAAAAATTCTTTTTAAATTATATATTATTTTTTGATTTGCTGAGAACGTGAGTAAGCAAGCAAGTCTGGGACTTGAACTGCAGCTCGCCATGTGAGAGCCCAGCGTCTTAACTTTCATTAAGAAACTTAACAGGGGCCGACAGGTGGCCTGGTAGTTACGGGTACTGAACTCCCACATAATTGAACAGGGTTCGAGTCCCGGAACTGGCAGCTTGCTTTCTCACTTTCTCTCTGGTCAAGTTAAAAAAAAAAAAAGTAAATAAATAATGTTAAATAAAACAATTCTTTAACAAAAAAAAAAAAAAAAAGAAAGAAAGAAAAGAAAGTAGAAAGCAAGCAAGCAAGCTAATGAACACCAAGGGTAAAGGGTGCGGGAACTCCAGACCCCTCCAAAATGGGTCCTCCACTGGGAAATCTCCCTGAATTAGCTCCCGTCACCCCAATACTACGCCACCCTCTTGGTCCCCAAAGGATTGTCTCCAGACTCCACCCGCCTGAACCCCGCCCTAGCAAATAAGCAATGGGAAGCCGGCCCCACTGCCCGGTTCTGTCCTGGCTTCATTTGCAAGACTGCGCATGTGTCAGAGGCGGCCGAGCTCAAGCAAACCCTTCTGTCAGGGCCGGGTTTCGCGCAGGCGCACTGGCAATCGCCGGGAGTGCTTCCGCCTCTCCGCCGCCGCCACCATGGCCGCGCCGGCTCCGGGCTTCATCTCTGACCTCACCAGCCAGCAGGAGCCGGG